TGGCCGCACACGTCAGACAGCCAACGTTGATCCAACCGTCTTTTTTGCTCAGCGTGCCAACGTTGGTCCCAACGTCATATTGACAACGTTGGCCCACGGCCTTTTGCTCAGCGTGCCAACGTTGCCCAACGTCTATTGACAACGTTGGCCGAACGTCAGACAGCCAACGTTGGCCCAACGGCCTTTTTGCTCAGGCGTGTCAACGTTGGCCACACCGTCATATTGACAACGTGGCCCAACGTCAGTCGCCAACGTTGGCCCACGTCATATTGACCACGTTGGCACAAAACGTCAGATTGCCAACGTTGGTCCAACGGCTTTTCGCTGAACATCCTGATCCCTCTGGTTCTCTCTCTCTCTCTCTCTGACACACACACAACATAACACGCACACCTCTCTCTCTCTCTCTCACAAACACACGCACACACACCGCACCACACACACACACACACACACACACACACACACACACAACACAGCACACACAACAAACACGCACATCTATCGCTCTCTCCTCTCTCTCTCTCTCTCTCTCTCTCTCTCCTCTGCTCTCTCTCTCTCTCTCTCTCTCTCTCTCTCTCTCTTCTCTCTTTCTCTCTCTCTCTCTCTCTCTCTCTCTCACACACACAGCGCGCGCGCGCGCACGACACCTAAACCTCTGGGATCCAGAGAAAAAAATTACCCTAGAATTCACAAAATTGCACTTACAATATCAATTTTTTTCAATTACTTCAAAAACGGCCATCTTGAAGGTTCTAAATTGCTAAAATCCAAGTGCGCTACTCGCGCACACTCTTCAATCACACAGCGAAATCACCCCCCCCCCCACCACCACCACAACTGAGGAACTGTCTACGCCACTGACTCAATTCCTCTATCTGTTTGTGTGTCTATTTGTCTTCTACGTCCCATATATATTCTGATTCAAAGGTAGATCGCGGACACTTCCACAATCCGATCTATTGTCCAGCTGCTTATTCTAGCGATATTATTATTATTATTATTCCTTATTATTGCGCGTCGGGCTACGATCGAGCCACGGAGTCTTATGTTATTACAATAATATCGAAGGAGCGCACTAGCACCTGGCCAGCTTAATTAGCCGGACGCCTCCACGCCAGTTAGCTTACAATAATACCTATATACATGAGAGGTATTATAAGCTCTTGATATATTACGGGAGCATTGTATAATGACATGTATAATAGCTCGGCATTGTTTCTAACAGGGTAAAACATATAAAGTATCAGAATACCATAGGGTTACAGACAGGTTATCAAACATGAACTTCTGATAGTATATGTAATTATAGGTAAAATATTAGATACGTAGGCGACATATTGTTGTGCGCGTGAGTGGTAAATTTCGCAATGAACATAGGAGTGCGAATTTCAATGTTAATTAAATTAGATTAGCTATCGTGTTAATTACTTGTTTTCATAAAAGCAGGTGAATACGCAACCGTAGTCAGTAAAACGTGTACAGACGTGTTCCCATCATTCTGTTTTTAACTTTTTATGTGCGAGATGAATTCAATTAAACCTTCCACGATAAGAATAGTTATAGTAAGAAGTTATAGAATATTGAATTGATTATTGTCTATTGCAATGGATTTTAACATTTCTTTTAGGTCGCATGGGTGAAATTACACGAAAATTGTATAAAGTGTTGATGAAAAATACAATATTTGTATTTTTGGCATCGAACCGGTCAACATATTCAGCAATTCCACGCATTGACACCTTGAGGCTGAGTACTCCCACATATTAGGAACCGCTGTTCTAATGAATTTCTTATGATGCTTTCTCTTATTCTTTCTCCTTATTGCTTTCTGCCATGCCCAGTATTATTTAGAGATAGAAGGAAAATCTAAGGATATCTGTCCTTACATACGATATCTCATCTGCTTCAATATGAACACGGATACATGCATCACCGCTCCTCATATAAAAATTCCTCATTGGGCTACTCATATAAAAATAGTTAGCTATGTCCACGTCCATATATTATCGTATCGTTTCTCTGCTCAAACCTTTTCAACGCGATTTCTACAATTCCAATCAGACGTACCTTTCTGCTAAGATCTTTTCGTCAATCAAAATCTTCTCTGCATCGTTTAGTCCCAGAGAGGCATCCTGATCTGCACGTAATACTCACTGCGCGCTCTCTCGCACACGCGTCAATCCCTGCGTCTAACGTAGAATGCCTACTGCTCCCCCCTAATACGATATCCAATTTCCTCTCTGACAAATAGCGTCGAATCAGGCTTCGACAGTGAAAAGCTGGCCTGTATTAGATGATCGATACACACACGTCGTTTTAGGTGAGCGCATTGGCGGCGGCTTTGCTCTTGCCCTATCGGCTCTTAGCAGACGGAATAGCTAATGAGCTTTTCGTGTATATTTATAAGGTCTCAGACTTAATTCAGCTGCGATCTAGTTCATTTTGGGTTCGATTCACTCACGGTTCAGCTCATACTATTGCGCATGTTGATGGGCGAATGATAGTAGCATTGAGAGCGTCTGAACCAACAGCAATACAAAAACGGGGGCACTGCCCAAGACATGTGAAGATTGTACGCTGCGTGCAAGCGATAGCGTCCTTATAGGCTTTCAAAAATATATTTACATAAATTATAGTCTTTGATATGTGTATGTTTATCATCATATCGATCCAAAAAGTATTCCTGGTTATGAACGTAACTGGGAACGTAAGTCTTCAAGAATATAGCTTTATAATCCATGTATCCATCTATGTATCCATTTACAAAACGTCATGCTTATGTTATAAGCTTCTAAAGTATAGACAAACAATTGCATAATCAAAAAATACACATTGCTCGTACTTTTCTCGTTATGAATACAGTGTACCTCCGTTTAACCACGCGTTTTCATTGATTACTCACGCACACACGCACACACATACACCGCGCGCACGCAAACACACACACACACACACACACACACACACACACACACACACACACACACACACACACGTTATTAGCAGCTCGGACAGAGTCAGATGTTGCCGCTTGATTTATAATGTTGATTCTGCTCCGCCGGCATGAAGGCTTAACTCATGAACACGCACGCACACGCACGCACGCACGCAAACACACACCAGACGCACACACACTCGCGCGCGCAGATTAATTAGGTAAATAATTTTTATTCATTAGCAGAGAGAGTGGTGGAGCAGAGTATAGAAGTCTCCCGCAGGTCGCACTCATCGTGCTGCTACGCACACACTGCTACACGGATGATGACCTCTGGAACCACTTCACAACGCAGCGGATATCCGGAACGCGTCATCCCAACGTGCTGATTCCCGTCAGTGGGAACGCTTTCTCTGCGATGCCCGTCTTGCTGTTTCTGCCGCAAGGTGGCACTGGGTTGTCGAGCGTCATGTTGTAGGTGCCCTTCAGTATGGTGTTGCGCAGACGCGGCGGCAGCGTGTAGTGTCCGGGTCCGGGTAAATCCGGCACGACGTGCTTAAAGCGCTCAGTCTTCGTCACCATCAGCGCGCTCTTGCCGCACCAGCCCAGCTGCAGCTCGTACGCTCCCGGTCCGGGATTCTTCACATCCGGCTGCGCGCGCACGATCTCCGGCACCGCCGTGAAGCGTTCCGCAGACGACAGGAAGCTGGCGTGGTCGGCGAAGCAGCGCGTTGGCCGCTGCCGACACTGCGTCCGGTCGTGCGCCTTGTCCGACTCGTAGGCGCCGGGAGGCGGCGCCACGTTCGCGCTCGTCTTCGCCGCGCGAAAGCGCTTGCTGCGCGACGCGAACGTGTACGACGTCTTCGACCGGTTACCGGGCGGACGCGCGTCGGGCTCGTAGCACCCGGGGCCCGGCACGGCCGCCTGCTGCCTCGTCGTCATCGGCAGCGTGCGCACGGCCGTCGAGCCGAACGAGCCGCCCTGCGTGCGCGTCAGGTAGGCGTGATGCAGACTCTGCAGGCCCATGCCGTGGTGGTGGTAGGTGCCCGGTCCGGGCGTCTCCCTGATCGCATGCTCGGGACAGAAGCGCAGAGACGTCTGGTTGAAGGGCCGCCGCGTGAAGGTGACGCCGGCGGCGGCGATGCCGTCGCCGTCGGGCACGTGCAGCGAGCTGCGCACCTCCTCGTACGATCCCGGCGCCGGAGCGTCGCTCATCTCGTGCGGGTCGAAGCGTTGCGTCTGGCAGCCGAACGCCGGATGCGGAAGCGTCGTACGCAGGCGCCCTCTCTCGACGAGCTGTTCGAACTGTCCGCTCTGGTCGTACTTGCCCGGCCCGGGCACGGCCTTCTTCTGCTCGACGTGTACGACGATCTCGTGATATCGCGGCAGATGCGCCTCGAAGAGCGGCGTCGACTTGTCGTAGGCTCTCCCGATCGGCATGGTCACCTTGTAGTCTCCCGGTCCCGGACCGCGGCGGCCGCGGAAGTCCATGCGCTTTCCCGTCTGCTTGGCGAAGAAGACGCCCTTGTAGACGCGCGTCGTCTTCGTCTCGTCGCTGCCGACGTTGTAGTAGGCGGGACCCATCGTCGTGTCCTTCTCGTCCGCTCGGCTCTTCTGGAGCAGTCCGAACTCGCTCTCGTCGTAGCCGTTAGCTTGACCGGGCGACGGCACGGACGGAGGCTGACCGCGCACGTCGTAGATGATATGCGACTTGATGAGGCGACCGCCCGCGTCGGCGACCGCTTCCTGCTGCGCGCCGACGTCGGCGGCGGCGCCACGGTCGCCCCAGCGCGACAGCCGGTACGCGCCGGGTCCGGGCGCGTCGGAGAGCCGGTCGGCGAAACGCTTACCGCGATTCGACAGCACCCGGCCGCCCTTGACGTTGCGCTGCGACAAGCGCGGGTCGTATTTCGCCGGACCCGGATTCGTGAGCGTCTCGGCCCGGATCGCGAGCGTGCGCCGCGGCGCCATGCTCAGGAAGGGCGCGTAGGCGCGCAGCCGACGCGCGCCGACGCTCTGCGGCAGCTTTGGCTGGTACGATCCGGGTCCGACAGCCGGACTCGTACTACCCGTCGCCTCGGCGCAGACGTTTCTTTCCGCGCGGTCGTACATTTTCGCGAGTTGTAGAAATTCGTAGGGTTTTCTACGAAGGCGCTGCAGAACGGAATAGGGATCTGGAATAGAGGATGTTACAGTATAATGTACGATCGCGTGGTAATGTATCTAGAAAATTAATATAGATGACCCTATAATGTTCATAATGGCTTAGACGAAACTATATCAAACTATAAAAATCATTTGAAATATTATTCATTAAAGCGCATCGTTTAAATATGTTAAACTAGTTATCAAGCATAATGTGATGAAAGGACGAGTTTAATAAGGCACATTTACGTTGTGGGTGGGACGTTCTTTATTATAAGTATGATCATATTTATTCATAATTCGGGAAATCTTCCTATATAGGTATATATAGGGGCAGTCGGGTGTTTTTGCTTTATGAGCTTGAACGTAATATTTCGACTAAATGAAAGGCAAATAGGATATTGCTTATATACGTAGTAACATGTAAAATTAAACAATACGATTAAAGTTTTAGTTTTTAATGATGCTGAACATGCGAACACTTACCCTACGTCGCAAGAGGAATTTCGATGCGCTGGTGTTATGAATTAATTAATTCATATATGGCATGATGATAGCAATCAGCATCTCTCACGATCCCCTGCCGCATGTATGCCTCACTGCTCCCGCGCTGTCTTTTATTCTCGTCATCTTGAGTAGCGGTCACATGTCAGTCAACGAAACGAAAACTAAATATGATGCTCACGCTTTGGCTATAGTGACGTGACAAAGCCCATCACGACGCACGTACGTTGCTAAGCGACCGAAATCAAGCAAAATGTAACGGAACTATTTGGAAGACAATGGGAGTTCCCAACCTGCTGTGCGTTGCATACAAAACCCGCATAATCTCTAAAGATGTCTAAAGGGCTATAACGAAGTTAGAAAGGGGTGACAATTAAGAAGAGATGATAAATAAGGAAAGAGATGACGCATATGGGAAGCGATAGCGAAGATGAAGAGAGTTAAAAGGCAGCGCCGGAACAGTGAGGCATTCCTTTAGTAAATTGCAATTTTAAGGCTCTTTCTACTGCGATCCATCTTTATCTGTCTATTAGATCAACTTTGTTTTTTTCTGTCTTCGTTTTAGTCTTTTGGACTTTGAAGACTATTATTTACGAGGTGTAAGAGAGAGAGAGAGCCTTTGTTTTACACTATGGTGTAGTAGCTTCTCTGCTACAAATCACTCAGAAATTTTATATTGTAACTGTTGCACACTATTGCATTTATCAGGTTTTTCTCCATAAAAAATACCATCTTTAGTACATGTATTTGTAGTTGAATTACATGCAATAAAGATTTAATAATAATAGCAATAATAAACAATTGCCTGTTCTTTATGCTGACCTTTCATCTGCTATGCCAGGTAGTAACTAAAGATAATAACTTATTCCTTCTCCTAGGCTTTACTTCTCTGTCGCGGATGGTATCGCCCACGGCGTCAATAACACGCACGAGATATAATTATAATTATATATATATATATAATGCACATATTCCTTCTAATGTAGTTACTTCTCTCGCCTTCCCACTCACCCGGCCTCTCCCTCTCCGTGACTCTCACCCTCCCCCTCTCTCTCATACACACGCACGCACGCACGCACACTCTCTCACAATTTGTCTCTCTGTCGGGCGCAATATATATATACACATATGCATACATAATTATATATATATATATAATATATATAATTATATATGTATATACTCGCCTTTCTCCGTTTCTTTCCCTTACTCCCCTCTCGCGGATAATATCGCGCACGGCATCAGTCGCACGGTGAAAAGTTTGCCAGCCAAATAACCGTATTTTCTCAGCCGAAACTTTTGCACCCCCCACCCCGCGAGACACAAAATGTGGAGATAGCACTTGGGCCTATTTCCAATAACTTTCAATGACAAAAGGAAAAATTACGGACTTTCAAGGACAAATGACAAAATTCAAAGGACATTCAAGGGATGTGGGGTCGGTCCCTGGAGATTGCACGAGAGGAGCGGGAGGAAAGGAAAGAGAAATAGTGAGAGAAAAGAGAGGACTAAAGAAAGTGAAGTCAATGGAGAGGTGATGGAGAAAAAGATGGCGAGAGGAACTTCGCGTCCGTATTGTGCCAACCACGGACGTTACCCCACCAGGCAATATGAATTAGCCACGGTCTCAATTTTCCTTATATTCTAGCTTAGTCGGAGATCTGTCTGCGCATGAACACTATGTGCCGTAAGAAACATACCCTTGTTAATTAAAATGGTACATTTCAAGTCTAGAGCACAAATTCATAAATAGTTTGATATGAAAAATCTCCATCTGAATGTGTCACTTTAATAACTACAAGGTGCCTAGTCAGCCAGAATTACACCATACTGTAGCACAAAGTAAGATCTGTCTTGTAACATGTGTGAAAAGAACTCATTTACAGAATGTCAACGTTTATGCGAACAGAAGAATCTTTATATTGCACGAAACCAATCAGGTGACAAAGAACAGCAAAATAATCTATCACAGACAATGTAAAATGGACGGATAATAAACGCACGAGATGAGTGCTATTAATTTCAATACGAAATGCAAATAAACTATGTGATTCCGCCCTCTATATATTGTCATATCTATGTGACCAGATATCGCCTGAGACGAACCACTCAACGATAAATTTAACGTACTAATTTATAACACCGACCTTATATATCATAATTTAAACACATGGAGAAAATGTGCGAGTTATGTGCTGATATAACAACTAATGCCACAAGAAAACTCTTACTGCATCTAGAATAGTAAATCGTTCCACTACAATTCTGAAAAAAGCGTTGCGTTGTGGTTGGAGTGAATGAGGTAAAATCCTTACTTTAAACAGCGTGTAATACTTATTGGTGTTACCAAGTTCACACGAGTGTTGGACTGCATATGATATAGGAAAAGTGAAATAGTGATTTGCGTTGTGTATGGATTATTGGAAAACCATTAGTGGAATAGTAGCAAACACCGTACACAAAACAATACAACGCAGTAGACTAGAACATAATTGTGTGCAGTCTTTGAAAGTGGTTTCTGTAGTGTATGGAGTATTGGACGATTATAAGATGTTTGTGTGGTGAACGGAGTATTGGTCAGCAATCAGAGAAATGCTACATGGGAGTATTCAAGAGGTTGTGGTAACCACAAACTAGTGATTATCAACGAGTGGAAATCTACTTTTTATATATATACATATATATATATATATTTATATATTTGCGGCGTGTCCTGCTGCTGCTGCTGCTATCACTTGGTCGTGATTGGTTGAGACTGGTGCATGCGCCGCAACCCCGTACGCCCGCGTACACACATGGCTTACAAAAACAAATCGATCCAGTCCTACGCCCTGCACCGCGCCGCAATACTTGAATATTGTTGATGCAATTGTTGTGGATCTTTTAAGGAAATATGCTTGCTTGATTACTTTTTATGCTTATTGCTTTCATACTTTTATGAACAAAGCTGAATTTTGATGGATTTCCATCGACCTTACCGCAAAGCGCTCGGTTCTAATTTTCTTACTATTGATACAGAGCCGGTAAGACAGATATGCTCAAAATATGCACACAAATACAGCCAAGTTGGCACATTTTATGCAGTTTTCATGGTTTCAGTGTCCCTGTCTCAGCTCTCGCGCGGGCCATTTTCTCACCGGATGCCGAGGCGCGTTGCACCTCACCTATAGCTGCCGAGGCACTAAGCGCCGAGGCAGCTCGTATATATATATATATGGCAATTAAGGCATTACGATAACACACTATGATAGTACCTCGTGAAACACGACTGTGTGAGATTCGATCCTCACTTGTCTTATTCAAACACAAAACTATTAATGTAATGTAGAATAATGTAGTAGAATGCAGCGTGATACGGACGGGTGTATTTAACCACTGGAATGCAGTTCACTGGAATCGGTGTGTTTGCGTCCTACAGGTGGCAGCACGATACTGTCGATGGTGGCACGGTCGACAGTCATCACTGGAACGAGTAGCTGGGATTTGGAGTGGAGCCACACCACTGTCCAATGAAGCGTAGCACGTCCTGACAGTCGGGGCTGTGCGACATCTGAGGCAATAGACACAGCGAACAAATTATGCATGCATCACAACGCAAAGGGAATGTCAACGCTGACGTATGGCAGCGATCATTTATTATATTATCTAGATCGCATTACTTCGATTTTTGCGTGTTGTTCCTGATGTGACAACATAGGTGAGTATTTTTGCACAGAATAAGGCAACTCCAAAGCACGCACACACATACACACACGCACGCACGCACTCACGCACGCACGCACACACACACACCACGCACGTAAGAGCACGTGTGCACATGCGCTACAAACATGGGTACCTTGACAATACATGAGCATACCTTAGTTGCCATCAGAAACTTGTTCCAGTCATCTTTATTGGCAGCCCGGCCGCTTTGCTTAAACTCAAGCTTGTTTCTCAGAACTGGATAACCTGTATATTCAGAATATAATATACGACCATAAATACCAAGACATTTCAGAAGCCTACAGTGAGAGGTCAGATGCACGAGGCAAAACTTTAAGCCAGAATTTACATAGATGTACCGACTTGCTACCAATGACAGCAATATAACTAATGCCAATCACAGTAACATAGTGCTACATATTACCTGTGGTGACACAAGTTAGTACATATTACCTGTGATGATACAGGACATTAAATCTTACCTGTGACAACACAGGACAGTACATATTACCTGTGATGACAAACAGGGCAGTAAATCTTACCTGTGATGACACACAGGACAGTAAATCTTACCTGTGATGACACACAGAACAGTACATATTACCTGTGATGACACATAGGACATTAAATCTTACCTGTGATGACACAGGACAGTACATATTACCTGTGATGACAAACAGGGCAGTAAATATTACCTGTGATGACACACAGGACAGTAAATCTTACCTGTGATGACACACAGGACAGTAAATCTTACCTGTGACGACACAGGGCAGTAAATCTTATCTGTGATGACACAGGGCAGTAAATCTTACCTGTGACGACACCGGACAGTACATCTTACCTATGATGACACACAGGGCAGTAAATATTACCTGTGACGACACAGGACAGTAAATCTTACCTGTGATGACACAGGACAGTACATCTTACCTGTAATGACACAGGGCAGTGCGTGTATGCCCGTGCTGGCGGCGACGAGTGAGGCTTCATAGGTGTTGCGTTCATCCTGCGGCAACACCTGCTCAATCTTCTGGTCCATGGAGACAGCGAGCACCCACTCCTTCGTCTCCTCGTGCTGCGTCTCCTGTAACCCACAAGCAAACGATGACGACGACAAAAGGTAGATGATTCGACGCACGTAAAGTCGCGACGGATCCGTTGCAGGCGTTCTCATCGTAAGCTGTTTGTGCACCGATTCGTTTAGGATACGATTGCAGAACGTTGTTTCGATACACTATGAAAATTAGTCGTGGAATTGCTTCGATTTAATCAAGTGAAATTGTTTTGCGATTATTTTACTGGCAGGTCGACCTTAAAGAATTGCAAACAGTGATGGATAGAGTGCTAGAATGATTATTCTCTCACAGGGAGATAAGGCTTTTCCGGCAGCGGAATCTCAAATGGAATGTCCGTGTCCTGGAAATCACTGTTGTCCATCATGTCCAGTGATCCATCCTCGATGGCCTGATCGTAATTCATACAAATTATAACATGTACGTATAATGTAGAAATTACAATATTTCTATTATATAATAATATGTGCATATATAAATTGTATGTCACCCATCTTTCTACCCATAGTAATCATTTAAAATGTGTGCATGAAGAACGATCAACGATTCTGTCAACCGAGATCTCCTTGATAATCAAATAATTTAGAATAATTAAAATGATGTAGAAACTTGAGGAATCTTGTTAATTTAGCAGGTCTTCCTGAATGAAAACTTCCATTACACAAAAATACATACCTCAACCAAGTCGAGATACCGGTTAAGAAACACAAATGCCATGTTTTCCATTCCTGCAATCTGCAAAAGTAAAAAAGAATATGGTTTAGCTCCTTGATTGTACCATTCAATCTTTGAATCTGTATAATCCACTAAGCTTCCAAAATCTTTATCAGATTTTGAATTTGAAATCGTTACACATTTTTACTCTGAACAGCTCATAAAAATTTCATGAATTGTCATCTCGAATGCTACGAATAGTTTCATTGCACCATGACATTGATGATGTTTGCTGGTAGATCTTCAACCACCTGATGACAGCCGATTTACCTTTGCATGTTTTCCCGCCTCATAGAATGCCTTGTCGGCTGGAACTACATCTGTATGTCTGAGGATGCTTGCCGACAGCTTTGAAGTCATGGGTTTCAGCGACTCCTGCCCCAGACACGCGGATCTGTTCGTGCAAAATCAATCACTGATCTGTTTACTGGCATCCGCGCACAGACAAAACACTCCCACCACGCCAAAAAACACCAGTATCTAATTCGAGCAGTACTAAGGCCAACTGTAAGACACATCATAAACAGTGATGACAAAGGTTAAGAATGTCACAAGTTTTAAAATGAAGGGCTCTGCAAAAGTTATAAACATTTTAGACTTGTGACAGTAATAGTATTATATTATACATCATATAAATACTTTTAATGTTCTGATAAGGTGCTCTCGACTTGCAATATGCAGCAGTTTGATTTTTGGCTCAAGGCCACACCACTAAAGATGTCGCATGTAAAATTGAGACTCGATAAAATTGATCACTCATATATATAGTTGAAGGAGAATCAAAAGGTGAAGATTTCATGTGACAGGTCTTCTAATACTTCGCTCACTCATCTTTATGATCATGGTTGGTAGAACAGATGTTTTTACATAAAAGTTCTATATTAAACAACAGATAAGGCTGTAAAATTTACATGACCCATGACAATTACCTATTAGCATAGTAATGTGCAATGAGCAGCATGTTCTCAAACTCTTCATGCTGCTTGCTGTTTGCGTCTGGTGACTTTTTTATGTTCTCAGACTGAAATGTCCGCAAACGAATGTCATATCATCGATACAGAATAATATCCACATTGAAAACGATCCACTAACAGTACTTGTGAATAAGAACAACATTATAAATGACTATCTCGTAATTACGAATTACAAATATCACAATGATAATTGGGACCGTGATGAAAACATGTTAGTATACATGACCAGTAATAATCGAGATAGAAACAGAGACGTGTCAGTTTAACTAACCAGAGGTAATTAAAAGTAACAAACACTTCCTAATGTAACTAACCCGTGGTCAGTAATAAGTGACAGAGGAACAAACAGATGTAATTGTAACTGACCAGGTCAAACAGCAGGTCACGTAGATCAGCCCACGTTCTGTAGGAGCTGGGTTCATCCATCCCTGGCATGGCCAGCATGTCAAACACTATACGCTTATAGATGTTGTAGTTCTGCAAATCAATCAATGATTCTCGATTGATTAGAATGTCACAGGCGATAGAAATGATGGCTATGAATGGCAAAACATCAGCACTGAATAAAATCATGAAAATATAAAAAAATATTAGTGAATAAAATGCTTCCCACTTTCCCATCAGTATAACATTAGACCCTCAAAAGTGCCTACCTGGCTATAACCAGTTATAATAAGTTTATAATCAATTGTTATTTTGCCATTTTCTGCACATTAACTTGTGTAATTCAGCATCGAAAGAAATTCTACGTGGCCGTGTGACACGTGCGGTGGTCTCGGGGGGTGGGGGCTGGGGTGGGGCTGGAGCTGAGGAGGGTGG